ACTCAATGCGCTCGTGTATAATGTGGGCTATCATGTGGAGCACCACGACTTCCCATCGATTCCCGGCTCACTTTTGCCTAGAGTTCGTGAAATAGCGCCGGAGTTTTACAATTCGCTGCCTTCCTATGGGTCATGGGTTTACGTCATCTGGAAGTATATCACTGACGACAGAGTTGGGCCCTATTCTCGAGTTAAACGACCGCATCGTTTTGGAAAACACGACCAAAAGACTGTGGATTTTATTAATCAAATCAAATCTGAAATTAAATAATATGACATATATTTTGTTGCAAATTATTTGAGTTTATTTATGTTAAGTTAGCATCCTTTATTACTACGAAAATTTAGAATAATTATGTCTTATTTATTCAAAAGAGTCACTAAATATGCCTTGGTCAGTATATATAGTAAGTTTTAATTTAGTAGAATTTATGGTGAATATGGGACAAACATAAAGGTTTTTAGTGTATTAAGGTCTATGGTTAGATAAGTGGTCAATGAAATCAAAGTTGAGAAGTTGAACATTATTAAATCTATGTACTGTATTGCATTTATACTATTTATGGACATTACAAATACAGTAGCCATACATTACACACTAAAGAATTTAAAAATTCTCTATTAGTAATAACATGAGTTGAATTTGACACTTTCTAAACTATTCTAGTGCACTGGTATTAGATATTTCTTATATTATATTTATTGTGATTCTTGTCGTTAGCTTTGGTTTGGTTCATAAATTAAATGAAAAATATTTTAGTTACTAAATACTAATTGCGTTTAAACAAACAGATTTGCTTGCTCACAATGCGTGACGAGTGATGTACTTATTTTGAAGAATTGATCGCATAATTCAACTCAATTATTATAGTTTTCAAGATTGTTGACACTTTTCTAATTTGTGTCTGGCGTGTAATTTCACTAGTTATGCAATTTTGTATGTTAATAACAATATTGTAAAACAATTGAGTGATGTATAAATTTATTCAGTAAATACATTATTTCATTTGAACCACTACTGGATTGTTTAATTAATTATTATAATAAAATATTTAAAATGTTTTATTGATACAACTTGTTTGTAAAATACCTAATGATATTTTAATTGAAATACTTTGTGAAAAATATAAAAGCATCTTACAATCATAGTTATTTCACAGTTATACAAAAAAAAAGTTATTTAAAAATGGGAACCAAAAGAGATTTTGAATGGGTTTACACGGATGAACCTCATGCCACCCGTCGGTCACTAATTTTGGCAAAATATCCACAAATAAAGCAATTAATGAGAACCGACCCTAACCTCAAATGGTTGACCATTGCGACGGTCGCCATACAATTGGTCTCGTTTTACATGTTAAGAGATGTGACCTCTTTCTGGCAATTGTTTCTTATGGCCTATTGTTTCGGTGGAGTCCTTAATGTATCGCTGCTGATGGCCATCCATGAGATCATGCATAACCACGCGTTTGGACCCTCGAGACCAATGGCCAATAAAGTGTTGGCACTGATCATCAATTTGCCGATTGGTGTCCCTATAGTTGGCTCAATTAAGAAGTACCACTCACTTCACCACCGATATCAAGGCGATGACATACTCGACATCGAGATGCCCTCCTATTTAGAAACCAAGTTCTTCAACACACCTGTGACTAAGCTTTTGTGGATGATTTTTCAGCCGGCCTTTATCCACCTCCGCCCCATCCTATCGCAACCAAATTATGTCTTAAATCCCAGTTCTCTGGAGTACTTCAATCTATTCATACAATTAATGTTCAACTATATGGTGGGCGTGTGGTGTGGATGGCATGTCATGATCTATATGATAGGATCGTCACTATTAGGTACGGGTTTGCATCCCATGAGCGGACATATAATCTCCGAGCACACCGTTATGTTCAACGAGAGGTTCGATTTGTTTGGAAATATCAATAAAAACGAGTTTCAAAGGGATGAATATCTCATACCCGAAACCTACTCCTATTACGGACCACTGAATGCGCTCATGTATAATGAGGGCTATCATGTGGAGCACCACGACTTCCCATCGATTCCCGGCTCACTTTTGCCTAGAGTTCGTGAAATAGCGCCGGAGTTTTACAATTCGTTGCCTTCCTATAAGTCATGGGTTTACGTCATCTGGAAGTATATCACTGACGACAGAGTTGGGCCCTATTCTCGAGTTAAACGACCGCATCGTTTCGGAAAACACGACCAAAAGACTGTGGATTTTATTAATCAAATCAAATCTGAATTTAAATAATATGACACATATTTTGTTGCAAATTATTTGAGTTTATTTATGTTAAGTTAGCATCCTTTATTACTACGAAAATTTAGAATAATTATGTCTTATTTATTCAAAACAGTCACTAAATATGTCTTGGTCAGTATATAAAATAAGTTTTAATTTAGTAAAATTCATGGTGAATTTGGGACAAACATAAAGGTCTTTAGTGTATTAAGGTGGTCTATGGTTAGATAAGTAATCAATGAAGTCAAAGTTGAGAAGTTGAACATTATTAAATCTATGTACTGTATTGCATTGATACTATTTATGGACATTACGAATACAGTAGCCAAACATTACACCATAGACGTCCAAAATTTTAAAAATCCCCAAAATAGTGTTTTATAATAATATTAAAATTTTTAACTATTCAAAACACTAATATTTTCTGATTAAAATGTGACTAAGATTTGTATTGAAAACATTTTTATTTATTAAACA